TAGATCAATCATGGATGTGCAGCATGAAAATTACATACAATGTGATCAGTACATGTCTATTTTTAACTGGTCCTATTTTAGTGAGGTCAAAACCAAACATAATGTAACAGAGTGTTTTAACTGAATACTTTATTCTGATCAGACAATACAACCAAACACAAAGCACCAAAAAAATTACAAACTCCCACTAAACATGATATCCTCGAATAACACCACACCCATATGAGCAGTGTGCTCATAAAAGACCTTGGGTGGCAATCCCTTTGTAAGAGGATCTGCTATCATGGAGTTTGTCCCAATGTGCTCTATGGATATCTGTCCACTCTGTACCCTTTCTTCCACAACCAGGAACTTAATGTTAATATATTTTGACTTAGTTGAGCTCCTATTGTTATTAGAATACATAACTACAGATTTATTATCACAAACTAACTTTAGTGGTCTTTCAACATTTTCCAGAATACGCAGTCCAGTGACAAAATTTCGCAACCATATTCCATGATTTGATGTCTCGTAGCAAGCTACAAATTCTACTGTCATAGTGGATGAAGCTACAAGTGTCTGTTTAACACTTTTCCATGATATAGCTGCTCGAGCTAACATATAAATATAGCCTGATGTAGATTTTCTGCTATCTTGGCATCCAGCAAAATCAGAATCCGAATACCCAATGACCTCCAACTGTTCTGATTTTCTGTATGTGAGCATATAATCCTTTATTTTTTGAAGATACCTCATTACCCTTTTAACTGCTATCCAATGATCCGTACCAGGGTTGCTTAACTATCTGCCTAACATCCCAACAATGTACGTAATATCCGGACGCGTACATATCTGAGCATATATTAAACTTCCTACAACCGAAGCATAATGAATCTTTAGTATTTCCTGAATTTCAAGGTTGCCTTTAGGGCACTGATTGAGACTAAACTTGTCTCCTTTAGCAACAGGGGTGTCACCTGGTCTGCAATCTTGCATGCCAAACCTTTTGAGTACTTTATCGATATAGCTCTTTTATGATAATCTAAGTATACCGCGAGAACGATCTCGATGTATCTGGATCCCTAATATAAAAGAGGTGTCCCCAAGATCTTTCATTTTAAAATTCTTTGATAGAAATCTCTTAGTTTTGTGCAACATGCCTATATCATTAGTGGCAAGCAATATGTCATCGACATACAGAACCAGAAAAATATACTTACTCCCACTGAACTTGTGATATACACAATCATCAACAATATTCATCTCAAACCCGAACGAGATAATTATTTGTTGAAACTTATGATACCATTGACGAGGAGCTTGCTTGATTCATCTCAAACCCGAACGAGATAATTATTTGTTGAAACTTATGATACCATTGACGAGGAGCTTGCTTGAATCCATAGATGGATTTTCTTAATTTGCAGACCATGTTCTTTGGATTTCCTGTCACAAAGTTTTCTGGTTGTACCATATAGATCATTTCATCAATGTCTCCATTGAGAAACGTGGTCTTAACATCCATCTGATGTAACTCAAGATCAAGATGAGCAACAAGCACCATGATTGTTCTAAAAGAGTCTTTCGATGAAACTAGAGAGAAAGTCTCTGTATAATCTATACCTTCCTTTTGAGTATAGCCTTTAGCTACAAGACGTGCCTTATACCTCTCAACATTACCATTTGCATCCCTCTTGGTTTTAAATATCCATTTATAACCAATTGGTTTTGCACCTTCTAGCAATGGGACAAGTTCCCAAACCTTATTGTCTTGCATAGACTTGTACTCTTCATTCATGACATCAATCCACTTTTGAGAGTTAGAACTTTTCATAGCCTGAAGGAAGTTGATTGGATCATCTTCCAACATTCCATTATTTTCTTTATGTTCTTGAAAAAATACAATATAATCATCCGGAATAACATTTCTCCTTTCTCTCGTGGATCTCCTTAAAGGCACTTGTTCTTGAGGTTGTTGAGTTTGTTCTTCTGAAACAGGGAGTTGTTCAATATTATCATCTTGAGGTTCTAGATTTACTTCTTGATCAACAATAGGTATAGGGACCTGAAGATTGTCAAAAGTAACTGTATGGATTGGATTTGAAGCTAATTCCTCCTCAAAAGCAATGTTTCTAACCTTATTTCTCCCCCCAAACTCAACATCCTCAAAGAATATTGCTATTCCCGTCTCAAAAATATTCCTAAGTGTGGGATCATAAAATTTATAGCCCATCGAGCGTTCAGAATATCCAATAAAGTAGCTGCTAACTGTTTTGGAGTCCAATTTCTTTTCATTTGGCCTATAAGACCTTACCTCAGCTGGACATCCCCAAATATGTAAGTGTTTTAAACTGGGCTTTCGACCGGTCCAAAGCTCATAAGGTGTTTTAGTAACTGCTTTACTTGGTACTCTGTTCAGAATGTAAGCTGATGTCTTTAGTGCTTCTCCCCAGAGTGACTCTGGTAAAGAAGAATGAGCAATCATACTTCTTACCATATCCTTAAGAGTCCTATTTCGTCTTTCAGCTATACCATTTATGCTAGGTGAACCCGACATGGTGTACTGTGGGATAATACCGCATTCCTCTAGGTATCTAGCAAATGGTCCTGAACGTTGTTTACCTGAACCATCATATCTGCCATAGTACTCACCACCACGATCAAATCTAACGGTTTTAATCCTTTTATTGAGTTGATTCTCAACTTCAGCTTTAAAAGCTTTGTACATGTCCAGAGACTCAGATTTTTCATGAATGAGATATAGGTACACATAACGTGAGTAATCGTCTATGAATGATATAAAATATTGTTGACCATTCCAAGATGCCGTAGGAAATGGCCCACAAATATATCTATGTATCAATTCTAAGACTTCTGAAGATTTATTAGCACCTAATCTCTTAACTTTGGTCTGTTTTCCCTTGATACATTCAACACAAACATTAAAATTCAAAAAATCAAGGGAATCTAAAATGCCATCAGACACAAGACGCTCAACTCTATCTTTTGATATATGACCCAAGCGCTAATGCCATAATGTCGCCGAATTTTCTTTATTTAATTTACGCTTAGTACTACGTGATTCCACATGCAAAGTTTCATTATATGAAGTAATTGTATTAAGCAAATATAGGTTGTCATAAGTACTCAAGTAACCAGTTCTCACAATATTTGAATTAAAAGATAAACTGAATTGATTGTTTCCAAATGAACAAGAATAACCTGATTTGTCCAATACAGAAATAGAAATCAAATTCCGTCTAAAAGACGGTACTACAAAAGTATCTTTCAAATCCAAATAAGAACCAGTTCCTAACAGCAACCTAAAGTGCCCAATTGCTTCTACATCTGCCGATTGACCATCGCCCACAAAGATGTGTCTTTCAACATCACTTGGCTTTCGGTAGCTCAGGCAATCCTACATAGAAATACTTATGTGAGTAGTAGCACCAGAGTCTAACCACCAAGTGTTTCTAGGTACTGAAGCTAAATTAACTTCAGAACAGACCAAAGTAAGGAACATACCCTTCTTGGCACGCTAGGCGTGATAGTTGGTACAATCCTTCTTTACATGTCCCACTATAACAAAATACAACATTGCCGACGAAACAAAAACGTCGGCAAATGTTTAAAAAATGTCGAGGAAAAATATTTCCCGACGCAAAATACAGCGTCACTAACGCATCGCCAAAAGTGCGTCAAGGAAAGTATTTGGCAACGTAAATACACTACGTCACCAAAAGTACACTTTTGGCGACGCGACATGCGTCGGGAAAAGTACATCTTTTAGCGACGCATATTATTTTGCATCGGCAAAAGCATACTGATTTTTTCCATATGCGAAATGGCATCGGGAAATCTTGCACTTTTGGCGACGTACTTAACATCGGCAAAGGGTAATCTGTCGGCAAAATTATACTTTTAGCGACGCGGAAAGGAGCGTCTCTAAAAAGCATATCTTTGGCGACACATGATTTGCGTCGGCAAAAGGGTAGCTTTTAGCGATGCTCTATTCTATGTCGCTAAAAGCTACACTTTTGCCGACATAAATCATGCGTCGCCAAAGATTAGCTTTTCAGCGACGCTCCATTCCGCGTCGCTAAAAGTGTATTTTTGCCGACGCAAGATTGCATCGCTAAAAGATATTACTTTTGGTGACAAAATATGTCGTCGGCAAAAGTGTTACATTTAGCGACTAAATATAGCGTCGGCAAAAGTGTTACTTTTACTGACGCTTATCGACACTAATTTGCATCACCAAAAATAATATATTCTCAGTCAAATACAAGCCTACACTGAATCTGAACATCCACAAAAAATTTGATCCCATTCACATCAACATAAAAGTCTATTTTCCATTTCCCCTTGAGTGCTAAAAGCGTTAATTTACAAACTTCCTCTTGCATACCCAAGTACATAAAGTCTCTCAAAAACAGATTACATCAAGGAAACTAGAAACAACAATATCAAGTTTGTATCATTAATTACAAAGAACAAATGGATTTGAGGAAGAACATGGCCCAGTTTAGATAGTGCATCTGCAACAGTGTTTGTCTCTCGCATACAATGTAGGACAGGAACTTCTTGGTATGAATGTACAACAAAACCAATAACAGCAACATAGTCTCCCGGAAAGCATTTCCCCGTCTAGGCCATAGGAAACAAATCCAAAACAACAACATCCAGAGAAATGTACTGAATAGAGCAAATTCTACGTACCCGAGTGTAACTGATTCTCCTCACCAAGCTGAGCAAAACATGCTACTATGGCAAACATTAGCTGAATTCCATGATTCACTGCACAGATAAAAAGAACATTCAAATAGTGATTCAATTTTTGGATTATAGATTTATGGAGGATATTTGGTTGTGAACTAGAATGATAAAAAGAACATTAAGTATGTATTTGAAACACTTCTGATGCCAAATGTCTTCAAACCTGTATGAGTTACACTTCTGATGCCAAAGGCGGAAAAACATTCAAAATAGTCCCCTAAAGATCAAAAACCTATAAGACAATGTCAATGGAGTTAATGGGATCAAAGAATTGGAATGTATATCATAGTATGGTCAGGGGAGTGGAAAGGACTATGAAAAGCTCTAGTCGTCAGACTTTAGATGCTTTAGTTTAAATGATGCCCAAGCTATTAGCTATAGGTAGATTTCAAATTTGAATTCAAATAGGAAGAGCTTCTCCCATTCTTCACTTTGCGCATTTATCCTTGGGATATGTCTGTTCTGAAACCTGCTACTCTAGATTAGTTCATGACAGGAATGCAACAAATGATGCGATCTTACATGTGTATGTATGCATGTGCGCGTGTGTGTATATATATATACTTACTGAATCTAATAATACATTATTTTTAAGTGTAATGTACTAGTATGAAAAGTCAGGGACTCGCATGAAAAGCTAATTTTCTGAAGATTTATCAGCTTTCATCAGTACAAGAAATAGCCTGATCTTTAACATTGTCATGTATCTCGTCAGTAAGCAAAAGGTCTCAATATGCAAAAAAAAAAAACTTTCAGCAAGGCCATACTGCACTACTCACCGCCACTAGCGATTACCAACTTGAATTCTAGCACTTGTCTACTTTCATTCCAAATAGATATGTCTTCTTACCGACGCAAACTTGACAGAAGAATAGTCGGATCAAGATATGAGACAGTTTAGAGACGCAGAAGACATTCCTTCAAACAAGCAATCAACATATGAGACAGTTTAGAGACGCAGAAGACATTCCTTCAAACAAACAATCAACATATAATCGACATAAATATCCAAGAGTTTATGCATCACTATTTAACTGAAGCTATCCCACCACGCAAATATAAACATGAAATATCTCACACTATATTGAATAAACAAAGTTTAGATAGTCTCCAGAGTGTAGTATTTATGAAGTATTCACATATTCCCACAGTGTCCTTTTTGAATAAACAAAGTTCAGATAGTCTCCATATTTTGCATGATCTTTTCTTTTCTTCTTTTTGTATTTTCTTCTTGATCTTGCATTGGTTTGATAGTTTTATCAAATGGAAAGGGTAATCTTAAGGAAAAGGTTGTAGGTAATCAAAGTTAGATCAAGTCAACTTCTTACCAGGGTTAAGAAAAGTTGGGGTCTGAGGACTTAAAATGGCCATGAAAATATGATTGTGAAGTTCAAGGGGGGAAAAAGAGAGTAGTTTTCAGTAGAAAATTAACAGATGTATATGTCATGAACCAACAAAGATGGGATCCTGGTGACTCAATTTTGCAGTAATGGACCGATGTTGCTTTGATCACCCCAGTTAGTCAGTTCTGATGTTATTCACGTAATGAAATGAAATTCATGAATTCCATGTATCCTTGATTCTAAGAATTGTGAAGTTACCAACTTTGACCGGACATGAAGCTAATGTGGGGAATTGCGCATATGAAGAAAGCTTTAGCCTGCATTTTATCACTTTTAAGGTAGAAAGTATTCAGGACATGAATCTAATCTGAAAAGGGACTGCCATGTAAAGTGTAAAGCACTATTGAACTTGTTAATTTTTTGTCGACTGAGCCAGAACTCATGGCTATTTAACTTATCACTTTGAATAAACATTTTAACTATGACCAGACAATCGAGTAGAGACTTGGGTATAAGTTTTTATTATCTTCTTTTCAACCCAGTAAAACTGGACTAGCTGGTGAACAATCATAATCTTTAATAACTAAACAAGAAGTTCTTGGAAAGCTTACTTAATCAGCATTTACTGATAAGAGACACCATGAAATAACTATGTTTTCTTTTGATCGTAGACTGGGCCACTTGCAGCCTATTACAAACTACCACTGAACCGTATCATTGTGGTATGTGTATCATTTAGCTTTATTATCAATATCAGTAATACTGCAACTGGAGCACGAAAAGTAACGTAATTTATGAATTGTGTATGCAGATGTATGATGATATGGACTTGCCATGTGGAGTCCTTCGGATACAACCCCAAGGTGGGCATGCACATCATAAAGGGTATGAGAGTGTGGAAGGCATGATTTCCCCCCCAAAAAAAAAAAAAAAAGAAAAAGAAAATTGAATTTTCTAACACAAACGCAACTTGTTATCATATTATGGTTGTCTATATTCTATTGAGGCATCCATGACTGTGTTGATGATGATGTACAAGTTAGTGTTCACTGCATCTTTCTTTCTAGTTATTCACTCTAAATCCTTTTGTTCGACACAACCTAAGTTCAGATAACAAAAACTTGCCAGAGGTAATTACTTCATACACAAACTAAACCTGTCAATAATTATTCCGAGCAATTGACCAAAATTGAAGTACATACTCATCCTAATTCTCTTTAGATTTCGAGAATAACATAACCAAACATCTTATATAAGATAAAATTCACCTGGCAAGGGGACAAATTTTCCACTATGTGCATCTGCCTATTAATCAATCTTTCACGATTAAACTCCTCGGGCAGCGTGGAAGACATTACGTTGAGCTACAAGGTCAATGGGTAAAATAACACCTTAAGTTTGTGCCCATCATAATTAGAAACCTAACTAACTTGGTGATGTTGTGTTGTATCTAGCTTGATTTTTTAAAAGCACGCCTAAAGGAGTTTGTGTTGTAAATTACTCAGGAACCATCAGTGGGAAAATTGAACTAGGCGTAATATGTATTAGGCATTTTTTTAATTATATTTTTAAATCTGGATTGCTTCTTTCTCAGGTTAAAGAGTGTAATTTATCACTTTCGAGGAAACAGAGAATTTGGTCGATTTAGAATTGGTCAGTATCTACTTCTGTGCAACCTTAATCCTATTAAAATATTTGTGCTTCGACATCCATAAGCTCACTTTTTTTCTGTTGATTCAAGGCATAGGAAGACCCCCAGGTCAGATGGATCCAAAGGCTTTCCTGCTTCAGAAATTCAACAAAATAGCTCGTGAAAGGGTAAGTGCAGATATGCAGCTGGACTCTGTTAAAAACCACATTGCATCATTCTGTTATTTTGATGTTAACTTTGTCCATATATCTTCATTGATGAGCTTGAATGAACTCAATATCGCAGCCGAGAGATTTCTCTTTACTTGGTTTTTTAAGGATGTGTTGCATGTTCATCAATTAAACAAAATTTAGCAATCTTATATAATATCAACGCTTAAGTAGCAGCTTCATCAGTTTCCATTGCAAAGGACATGAAATAACAAAAAATGTGCTTGGAAGCAAGGATGATCTAATCTTTCCTTGTTTACATCCAATAATTAATTATTCTTGCTCAAACTAATCTACCAATAGTCTTTAGCGAGCTTCTAACAACAATTTAGATTTTTTTTATAGCTTTTACTTTTTTAATTGTATGGGAATTTAACGTGTTGTTGCTTGCACCAGATCGATTCAGCTTTGCAAGAAGGGGTTGATATCCTGAAGATGCTCTTAGATAAAGGCTTGACAGAGTGTTCAAGATCCGCAAACACCGAACAGAAATACAAGCATTTCAACAATTTAGATTTTTTTTATAGCTTTTACTTTTTTAATTGTATGGGAATTTAACGTGTTGTTGCTTGCACCAGATCGATTCAGCTTTGCAAGAAGGGGTTGATATCCTGAAGATGCTCTTAGATAAAGGCTTGACAGAGTGTTCAAGATCCGCAAACACCGAACAGAAATACAAGCATTTCCAGATTCTGTGAGTCAAGGTACATCTATCACTGACAGCGTATTTCTTTAGATAATACATTAATGAATTTGTGTATCCTCTAACTGTCCTCTACTCCTTGCTCCTTCAGATAATTTGCAGGAGGCGAACCTTGGAAACGAAGAGGCTGATGCACCCGTGAGAGGTAACTCATTTCCATTAGTTGTAGTCTCTTCATTATTCTTTGGCACTTATATTCTTTTATGTCAGATTTCTCCATCGACGATTTTGACGAGGGAAGCCTGTTTGCGGACACTCCTATGATGCACTACATATATAGCTCACCTCAGATTGATGACCAGCTACCTGGAGACATGTTTCCTGAGTCCGCATTTGCTAACAATCCTGAGGATGGTTCCTTTGAAGGTATGTGCCTCCTGCTGAGTTGATTATAGGACTAGTCGACCTTGACTAATGCAGCTATAATGTAACGCCTCTGCGAATTCTGTTTTGAATTTGACAGGAGCTTTTGTTGAGAAAGACCATGTTGAGCCGGCTGTGCGACCAACTCCACCAGTCGATGCAGCTACAGTTGTTACATCTCCATCACCCCCAGTGACTCGAGGGGAAGGAGGTATAATTTAATTAGCTGAGCGATGCCGTTCATTTCCTCATTGAGGCTTTTGACGAACTTCTCTTCTTTGTGTAGGGCTTCCTTCTCAGCTTCATATCCTCGTTAAGGAGTTGTTATCAGGGGATGACCCTGAGAAGATCATCATCAGCGTAGAAGTCCGCTCTTATTTCTCCTCCCTGACTGTTATAATTGGCAAACTCCTCCACGACGGACTTTCTCTTCGCCAATTTAAGCCCTACCTCGATTCCAAGATAAACTTGATTAGGGACATAGGATGTCCGGATCTAGCGACGGCTATGGTTGATGACCTTGATCGCTTAGAGCGTGAGCTTCAGATGTTTCATGAGCTCCGGGATACAGGTGCCTCTTCATTCGTTGCTGCCGAGTTGGATGCTCGCTTACAGACATGGCGCAGTACTCGGATGGTTGCTGAGCTCGAGATTCAGGTGCAGCGGGACCGCATAGATCGAGTTGAGGCTGATTTCGCCACTAGATCTTCTTTCCTCGAGGAGCTTGATTCTCAGATAGATCAGCTCCGACGAGAACTCCGTGAGAAGGAAGACACAAAGATGCAGAATCAGCAAGCAAATGCTGCTTTATCTGATGAGCTGAAGTCCTTGAAGCAGAGACTGGCTGAGACAGAGGAGGATGCTGTGAGGACTTTAGCTGCGAACGAAGAGTCTGTTAGAGCTGAGTTGCAGGAGGAGCTTAGACGCTCTTATGACGAGAAGTTATCTGAATTCAGTCAGCAGATTCTTAGCCATGGGCTTGATGTATGATTTTATTTGCTGAAAACCTTGACATTTGATTCTCTTTAGTGGAATTGGTTTTTATCTTTATCTTTATTATGATTCCTCATCACGTTTGAAATGATTGACCATAATACTCATAGGATTTTTGGCAAACCCCCAGCCTTCAACGGGTTTGATTAGCCTTTACCGACTACCGTTTGAGTCGGGCTAGCATGCGGATTATCGGAATCCGTTCCGCATGTAACGTTGTGCTAAGGGAATGAACTCCCTTAGACTTCGTGCTATGATGTCGAATACATAGACTTCGCCATTGTTACGGGAATAGGCTACCCGGCGACACGTGTTAGGTGTTGACTTTAGGATTTTTTGGCTAACCCCCAGCCTTCAACGGGTTTGATTAGCCTTTACCGACTACCGTTTGAGTCGGGCTAGCATGCGGATTGTCGGAATCCGTTCCGCATGTAACGTTGTGCTAAGGGAATGAACTCCCTTAGACTTCGTGCTATGATGTCGAATACATAGACTTCGCCATTGTTACGGGAATAGGCTACCCGGCGACACGTGTTAGGTGTTGACTTTAGGATTTTTGGCTAACCCCCAGCCTTCAACGGGTTTGATTAGCCTTTACCGACTACCGTTTGAGTCGGGCTAGCATGCGGATTGTCGGAATCCGTTCCGCATGTAACGTTGTGCTAAGGGAATGAACTCCCTTAGACTTCGTGCTATGATGTCGAATACATAGACTTCGCCATTGTTACGGGAATAGGCTACCCGGCGACACGTGTTAGGTGTTGACTTTAGGATTTTTGGCTAACCCCCAGCCTTCAACGGGTTTGATTAGCCTTTACCGACTACCGTTTGAGTCGGGCTAGCATGCGGATTGTCTAACTCCGTTCGCATGTAACGTTGTGCTAAGAGAATGAATTCTCTTAGACTTCGTGCTATGATGTCGAATACATAGACTTCGCCATTGTTACGGGAATAGGCTACCCGGCAACACGTGTTAGGTGTTGACTTTATCCCTACTTAGGTTTCGGGATAAAATACCCCAGACTGGTCTTCTGGTGTCTTTTTCTACGGCGAAAGACTAAACCGGCGACGCGTGTTAGGCGTCGGCATATCCCTTCTTAGGATTCAGGATGACATTCCCCATGCGTGTAAGGCATGGATTTTGGTGTTATTAATGACGACCTGCCACAATGTTGAATATGTGGACGGGTGTTCTTTTTAACGGTTAAGAACTAACCGGCAGCGCAGGTTAAGCGCAGACTTATCCTTGCTTAGGTTTCAGGATAAAATACCCCAGAATCAGACTCTGGTGTCTTTTTGTGCGGAAAAAGACTAAACCGGCAGCGCGTGTTAGGCGCAGACTTATCCCTGCTTAGGATTCGGGATAAACTTCCTAGGATGAATCCTAGATTGATAGATTCTTAGAAAAGGTTGGTGCGGGAAAGGAAGAATTTTATATTCTATTTCCCGGTCTTCTTTTAGGGTGAAGGCGAACCCAACAGACAAGGAAGGAAGAATTTTATATTCTATTCCCTGATTCTGGAAAGGAAGAATTTTATATTCTATTTCCAGCGAAGAAGAAACTAGAAGTGGGGTGTCCACTCCGAGAATCTGGAAAATTTAGATAAACTTGCCTTTTATAGGATGAGTTATCTAAACTGAAAATGGGTCCTTCGTTTATCGAAGTGGTATTTTCAACTCCGGTTATAACCATGAACAAGGTTTAACCAAAGAGAAAAAGGGAAGGAGTTCTTTCGTTTATCGAAAAGGGACTCCGAACTGAAAGTGGACCTCTTGTTCATGGAAAGAATCAAGAGGGCCAGAAAAACATTTTTGGTGGACTCACTGTCAATTGAAATTGATCAGTGAGGGATTTTGGTGGTGACAATGATTTTGGGTTATCCTCTAGAATATTAAGTGTAATATTCTTCGAGGAACTTCCCGGTAAATGAGTTATCCTGAATGTACTAGGGATAGTACTTTTTCAGGAACTTCCCATTTATTGGCATTAATTGCCTGGCGCCCTCTTGAGTAATCAGGCGATATGCGCCGTTTGAATAGACTGTGTCTATTACAAACGGTCCTTCCCATTTGGGTTCGAATTTACCTTTCTTCTTGGAGGTGAGAATTATTGGTCGGCGAGCAGCGAGGACCAGATCTCCTTCCTTGAAGCTTCTCTGTCGGACTCTTTTGTTAAAAGCCCTTGACATCCTGGCTTGGTAAAACTCGATGTGTTGTTGAGCCTCCAAACGCTTTTCATCCAGCCTCTCGAGCTCTTCGAGACGCTTCTGATGTTGTTCCTCCGTCGTCATCTCCGTTGCGAGGGCGATCCGAAGGGACGGAATCTGAATTTCCAGCGGTAGCACAGCTTCACATCCGTATACCAGCGAATACGGGGTAGCTCCCGTAGGCGTGCGTATGGTGGTGCGATAAGCCCAGAGTGCTTCACCGAGTTTATCGTCCCAGTCTCGTTTATTGGTCTTCACGAGCTTGGACAGGATCTTAATGATCGTCTTGTTAAACGCCTCCGCTAATCCATTCGCGGCGGGATAATAAGGTGTTGATGAAACGTCTTCAATTTTGAACTTGTCACAAAATCTGATGAAGGCGTTGCTTATAAATTGCGGACCGTTGTCATGAATGATCCTTCTTGGCACGCCGTGTCTGTAGATGACATGATGCTTGATGAAATTGATGACGTTGTTCGTCTTTACTTCTTTAAGCGGAATTGCTTCAGCCCACTTTGAGAAGTAATCCGTGATCGCCAGAATGAATCGATCGCCTTTGACTGAGGGGGGAAAAATAGGACCAACAATGTCCATGCCCCATACTTCGAACGGCCATGACGTGGTTGATGTGTGCAACTGCTCTGGCGGTTGATGCATATAATTTGCATGTATCTGGCAAGCGTGGCATTCTCGTGCGTATTCGATTGCGTCACGAACCATCGTTGGCCAGAAATATCCCATCCTCCTGATGCGATCATACAGTTTGGGACCGGGCTGATGCGCACCACATTCTCCTTCGTGCGCTTCCTTAAGAACTTCTTCTGCTTCTTTGTTCGAAAGGCATCGGAGTAATAAACCATCGTATCCCCTACGGTATAACGTATGGGTCTCGGCATTATAAAAGAATCTTGGCGCTCTTCGGCGAATTGATTCCCTTTCTTTTACGTCTTCTGGCAGAATACCATACTGGACGTAGTCAATGATGGGAAAACGCCAATCTCGGGACTCAGACCCAATTTGAGTTGAATTCACCTCCTTGGCGTTTACGTTTCCGTCATCTTCCTCTTCAATATCCCTACTGTATATGGGTACGCAGAGTTGATGCGTCCGTACTGTGACTAACAGCTCAGTTTCGGGAGGCTGTGCCAGTGATACCGCTAGTGCCGCCAGTGCATCTGCATAAGCGTTCTGGAGACGAGGGATATATTCAATGAAGAATTCTTCAAAAGATTCTGCCATTTTGATGGCTTCCTGGTGGTACGGGATCAGGTCTTGGTTCCTGACTTCATACT